CATATTTTCACTTGATCTATCATTTTAGTTCCATAGTCAAAATGCCACGTAAGAGCCAAGTAAAAAGTTTCAGTGACGCCTGTCTGCAATATCAACAACATACCATATGAAGTATTTAATCTTATCAAGAGAACCAGACGTTAGTTTCACAAGATTGGTCCTCTATAAATATATGCTGAGCAACAGTTGTTTTCTTTGCTTAATCTCCTGCTCTACCAATATCCATTACTATGCATATAACTAGCTCCTAAAACCACTGAAAGAAACCTTAGTTGTAATTTCTCAGTGTTCCGAGACATACTGAGAGATATGACCAGCACTTCCACTCCAGAAAGTGCCCTACCAATTTGTACAACTCTGACCTCACAACTTCAGTGACAGCTGTTTAACACCTTCAGGTTCTCTTAGGAAATGTCTCAGAGAACCACATATGACTATCAGCTAGTTTACTTACGAATATAGCAGTATTTCATGAACATCAACTTATTCTAACATCAAATGCTTACATTTTCTTCAGCTTTTCTAACTGGTGAATGGCTTTCTTAGAATACAATTGCATCCTAAAATACACCTAATTGTAATAGCTGATGACAGCATAGGCTTTCCTCATGACAAACTTTGGCCTTTCTTATCAATCATATTAATTGATCTCAGTGTTAACTTCTTTACATTTTTTATAAACTAACCTATAGACTTTTTAATCTAAATGGTTTTCTCTCAATTACAGGACAATGGTTTTGCTGATGACTAATATCCTTTGATAATTCTTAGTAGTCCATATTTTTCAAAGATATTTATTTCAGTGAACACCAAGTAACTGCAAACATTACAAAATGTTAATTTTAATGACTGCTGTATAAAGGCATGCACATACCTGAACAACATCCAAATAAAGACACTTCCACATCCTACAATAAGAACAGGAAGTCTGAAATACTTGAGAAAAGAGATTTCTGAAAGACTATACAGGTTATGACAGTTGACTATGATATTACTGTCTCAGTACAGCTACATGCCTGCAAAATGCTCTAATCCAGTAAGCAAAGAAGAGAATAACATGATTCTGACAACTTTAACATGAACTGAAAGCATCCAAGTATCCTTACTGAAGCTGACAAAATGCAGATGTTAAAAATCAGAGACCACTGTGAAACTCTACCAAACCTTTAAAAACAGCAGCAGTCAGAGAAGGAAGTACAACTACGAGGTACAGATAATAATTAAATGAAACATGATTAGAGGGTACAGAGTAACATTCACTTACGCAAAATACGTAAGAAGTTCAACCTAAAATCAAAGATAGGCAAGAACTATAGCTAGGAGTGCAACTGAAAGACACGTCATTTCTTTGTTCTGGTATAATAACACAGCCCTGATCATCATAATATATGCAAAACTAGCTGTTCCAGAGAAGATAAATTAAAAAAAACCAAAAAGGTCATAATCAAAACATAAGATACAACTGCCCTTCAGCTTACTGAATTTTCAATGTATTACTGAAATAAGCAAGCAGAAAACTGTCCTGAAATTCAGAGAAGCCTTTCAATATTTAGTTAAAAATGTTATAAAGTTGGTATTTTTCAGTCTTCTTAAAATCATTTTCCCTAATTCTGTCTTACTACATGAAAAATTAAAATGCTACTCGACAGCTGTTTCTTCTGCTGCTGCATTGACAATGCTGCTCTATCACATTTCTTTTTTTTCCAACATTCATGCTTAGGCACAGCACCCCTGATAAACTGATGTTTCCTATTGAATGACACTTCTAATCCTTTAAAAGCAAGCACTATACTACAAAAGCCCAAATATCCCATAAAGCATGGTTACAACAATTCCCAGTATCAGTGTGTCCATGGTATTCTATAACGAAGCCAGGTACAGGGTATAATCGTCTCCAAGAATGCGCCTAAAGCCTTACTATCCAAGGACTGATGTAGCAAAAGCTGATCCAATACAAATTATCTGATTTATGCACCTGTTATGGTCATTGTTTTCCATATAACGTGATCACAGAACTAAATAACTCTTTTCTTTTCTTTTCCCAATGTTCTCGTGCTCCAAGTTGGCAAATCAGCTCAAGTACAGGTCTTGTTTGTTCCTCGTGACTATCAGTGGTTTAAACTGCTGTTTGTACATGTTCTAATTAGCCAGTTCTACTAAACTCTTGACAGTTGACATCACTGCTCAAAGAAGTTCAGGAAACCAACAACTCTAGAAGAATTGCCAATCTACTGAGTTAGTAAAGAATGAGTATCTATGAATCTGTAGTCAATAGAGAATTATAAAAAGTCATTTTTCCAAACAAGCATTAACTTCACTCTTTTTCAGATAAAAGCTGTCAAAAGTGCATCATGACTCTTCACAAAATACATCCCATCCCACTAGTGGGTATTCTTGGAGAAAGCCTTGTTTCATGGGGAAAAACATTACCAAGGCCCAAAAGGAATAAATAACAGAATAGAAACTATTCAGAAAGTTTTAAAAGGCCCCCTAGGCCTAGACTTATTTTTAAAAAGCAAATTGTTGTCTAGTGATTAAAGTAAGTAAATATAAAATGCTTTTACCTCTATCATCCAAGTTGCTACATCAGTATGTGAACAGATACCAAAAAAAACCCAAATTCCAGTTCTTACACTCAGAAGACAAAAGCCATTGCTATAATTATGTGCATCACAAAATGAGGCAGTGACTGCTAACAATACACTGATTTAGCCTGTTCTTTATATGTGAACCATAACTGTCATATAAACACTTGGAATTTTAAAAGCATTTTTACATGCTAAAGTTGTGGTGTATTACATAAAATTCTGAACTGCTATGATTACAGTGGTGTCCAGCTGCCTCACCACAAGGCTTGCTGCAGAAATAAAAAAAAAGAGTAAGCATTAGAAAGCATGCAGCTAAAAAGTTATCTGTCACTTAAGAACTGTAAGCCACATTTAGCGAGTTTATGCTAGAAAAGCTTTATAATAATTGAGCTTGATTTTTAAATATGATCTTGTCCATTTTCACATTATAACATATAATGCATTCAATAAATACACAACTAGTATATACAACTTTTTAAAATACAGCTTATTAGCTTTCTTGGACAAAAAATAAAAACTGATTTGTACTTGGAATATCAAGAGCTTCCACTTAACTCGAAAAGAGGGTCAAGAGCAAACTCATGGAAAGATTTTAATGTAGACTGTTCAATGAACCAGACTTCAACAAAGCCTTTCCCACCTACACTTTTTAGGTGCAATTACTCAAATATACTGCTGGACCGAAACTTATTAAGGTGAATATAACATTTTTTTTTCTTAGCAGCAGGTAGTCATTTAAGAAATTACAAGATTTTTATGTTACTAGGCCATTCAAAAAATTGTGCATCGTTTTACTGTAAGAGCTCTACATCATAACAGTAACATATGCAGACTGAGCATCTTAACATCCCTGTCATAAGCTATACCATATTTACACACTGCAGTGTTAGGCAGAAATTGAAGCCAGAGCCATTCAGGGGAAATATACAGTCATGATATGTTTCTCAATTTAAATAATATTTGCAATGATAAATTAGGTATTTCACTAAACGCTAGTGGCATTTTACATATTAAGAAGATCAATTAATGCACTACATTCTTAGCCAAGCCTAAAATAAATGACTCCCCATATTCAAACTATAATTTTCTTCAGACAACATGGGCTTTAATTTGCAAACTCTTCAGTACGGATGTAGGAAGAACCCACCTCATGATTTGTGTAGAGCTCCATCCTGGGTAAACACACAGTTACAAAGCACAATATGCAAATAAAAGGTATGAAGCTCATTGCGTTATCCTTCCTAAAGATTTTTGCAAGTCAGACTCATTTTTGTCAAAGCAGTATTTAAATTATGACAGAAAAAAAAAAAAGCTTTCATCTTTCCAATTTAAGTGGCCCTTTTAATGCCAAGTTAACATTATAATGGTTTATCTATGTTGGAGAATTAAATTCAGTTTGTTCTTTCAAGCACAATTTTAAAGGAAAAATTTCACCATGTATTCAAACATGTGATTTTATGTTTTCCTATCTGTTACTTCTACATTAATTATTCAAAACAAGCCTCTCTCATGTCACTTACAGAAGTGCAGCTGTAAATAACAAGAGCTGTGTGCAAATATACAGAATTCTTATAACAAAGCAATATGGCAATTTCTTCTAAAGCACATAAAGTACCAGATCACCTATCTCCTTTTATCCCCAATTCTAATAAGAAAAACAAATCTGAATTTGGTACTAATTTTATAAATGCTTATAAATGTTTTCTTCTCAGTATTTAACCTTTGGTGATATGGTTTCCAGTTCAATTAATAAAATAAAAAAGTGTGTGGGGGGGGGATGGGGAGAAGTAATGGAAGAACGTCAAACCAGGGTTGTTCTTGTATCTGTACCGTGATACCTACAAGAATGTTGCTATTGATCTTCTGTTAAATTACAAAAGAACAGAAAATTTTCACCAAAATATATACAAAAAAAAAAGGAAATTGATGCTTTTTAAATCTCTTGAGTTTGGATTATAAGTCAGCCCCTTTTGCTTATAACACTGTTAGCAACCATTAGCAAAGTGCCAAAGACAGCAATGAGTTTAGAACTAGAGCAGCTACCAAAATTGTTGCAGGAGAGACAAAGGGGATCAAGGTCAGCATTCTTCTAGCGCAACAGCTAATCCACTCATATGAACATCGTATTGGCACGGGTTGGCGTAATAAATTTGCAAGAAATATAAAATATACAAGATCCCACCTGATTTTCCCCGTCCTTTCGAGAGAACCATTTTGCTCTCACTGATCTCAAGCCATTACATATCTCAGCGAGGAAGGGGAGGGAGGAGTTAACAGAAGTTCAGGGTCAGACAATGTTCACGTATCCTGTCACCTTCTAACTAAAAGCTCAGAGGAGAAGAACTCTTATGCCACGCACTGAAACCTACATATTTTGGGTGTGTGTGTGGGGGGAGACCTGCAATAGGAGCGATGTGTCATACGTGCGGAGGCTGCGAGGAGAAGAGCTGTCAGGAGAACGCTGCCTCTCGCTTGAAGAGGAGGAGGCGGTGGGGAAAGGCCGGTGACGAACGCAGGATCACCAAAAAATCCGGCGGTGCTCAGGGGCTGCCATCCCCGGCTCACCCCTCCGGCCGGGCTTCGCTCGGCTCCCCCGGCACAGGGCTCAGCCTCTCGGAGCTGCCCCAGCCCCCGCGGAGCCGCTCCCAGCCGCCACCGGGCAGCGGAAATCCCCCGCAGCCCGGCCCGACCCTGCCCGGGGCGTCGAGCGGCGCTCCCCGCGCCCGGGGCTCTCCGGGCAGTCCCCGGCCCTCTGGCGGGGCGCTCTCCTACCGCCACCATCACTTCCCCCCTGCTCCGGGGCCGCGCTGTCAGCTCACCCCCCGCGACGTCCCGCGCACCGCAGGCCGAGAGCCAACACCCCACCGGGTGCGAGCCGGACCCGCACCCCTGGGCCGGGAGACAATGAGCAGCCGCAACTCACCAGCAGCACCGGAGCTCCGCGGGTCCGGGGGCGGTTCCTTTGCCCCTTCTCCTTCCCCTTCTCCTCCGCCTAGGAGCGGTATCCGGCCGCCGGGAGCCGAAACCCCCCTCCCCTCGTCGCCCGAGAGCCTTCGCCGGACCGCCGGTCTCGCTCCCTCCCCGAGGAAAGTCACTTTATTCCCCGCTCCAACATGGCTGCTCCCCCCGCCGCCGCCGCCGCAGCAGCAGCTTTCTCCTCGCCACGGCTCCCCGCCGCCGCCACCGGAGAGCGGCCGCAGGCCGTGCCCGGGAGCCGCCCGGCCGGCCGCTGGCGGTGCCGAGAGCGTCAGCCGAGCCGGGCCGCGGGGGTGTGCGAGGAAGGGGCAAGCCGAGGCGAGCCGGGCTGGGCTGCGCGTCCCCGCTGCGGGCTGACGCCTCCGCCCGCTCGCACTGAGCCAGCCCCGCCGGCTCCGGGCGCAGGAGGGGCCGCGGGGACGCCCGTGCGCCGGCGACACCTGGCGGCCGGGGCGGCCCCGGCTGAGCCGGCGGCTGCGCGGGGAGCGGGGGGGTCAGGGCGGAGCGCGGGGAATGCCCCGAGCGGCGGCGCGGGGAGCGGGGGTTGCCGCAGTGCTTTTCTGGGCCGCCCGCCCCGCTGCGGGGCAGCCCGGCCGCGCCGAGCCGAGTGGGGCGCTGCTGCGGTTCGCCGATCCTCCAGCGGCCCTGCGCGGCCGCCTCCTCCCGCGGGAGGAAGTGGGTCTCATCGGCAGAGGCTCCCGGGAAGCCGCCCCGGGGCCCTGCGTGCTGCTGGCCGTCCGAGGGGTCTCCCCGAGCCGTTTCGAGTGGGTAGAAAAGGGGCATTTGCTCTCTTCATTTTACCGGTTCCTTGGCAGCGTTTCCGCTTGGGTTTGCAGGGCGATTTAGCTCATCTCTCAGGCATCCCCCTGCTCCCCCTTCCTACGGCTGGCGCATTAGTAACCGAAGTTCAGGGAAGCCGGGTGTCTCATTAGAACAATTTCTAATTCATGTTTACCGTATTTATTCTTGTGGTGTTTTCTTTCCTTTGTCTCCTGCATTCAACGGTGCCTGTACCATCCCCCATGTCCTCCTTGTGATCGCTCTGACAGCGCCAACCACGCTGCCTTCTTGCGCTTAGAATCTTTTTCCTCTCAAAGTGATCCAGTCTGTGTTTTCTTACTTCTCAGCCCTTTCCAGCCCTAAATTTCTTGGGCTTTGTGTGTAACTGAACGAGACCTAGAAGGTGAAAGCTAGCTTGGTGAAAGCCAGCTGTTCTGTACTATGGTTTTTCACATTTCCATCTCACAAAGAACAAGATGTGTCAGGAAGGCCAAATCTGAGCTGATTTTAGTGACATGGTTTTGAACTTAAAGTACCAGGGCATAGGTCACTTGGGCCAGAATTTGAAAATGGGTTGCTTTTTTTCCCTTTGGCCATCTGCTTATCCTTGCTGCCTAGCTGCTCTCTTGCTTTTGTCAGTTCAAATTCAGTGTCACGGGGCCTTTTTCCATCTTCATGCAGACCAGGGTCTGCATGTGGGTCTCAACTTCCCCACACTCCTTGTGGATGCTGAGTGAGGCCAAAACTGCTTCATTCTGCAGGCACGTCTGTACTTGGCTGTGTATAGGTGGAGACTAGAGAACATTTTCATTTGCAGCAGTAAGCCCCTGATCTTAAGAAACTGTGTGCAGCTTATTCGAGCCAGGCCTTCTCCACAGTAAGGCCAAGTGGGAGCTGCCTTCACAGGAGCAGTGCCAGCTGAAAATTCCCCTGCTTCCAGCTCTGTTGACCCTTCCAACAGCACAAGCAAACCAGAACACAGACAAGTATGTTTCCCAGTAAACAGAAGTCAATTGCTCTTGCCTAAAAAAGGAGTGCAAACATGAAACCACTTCTTAAATGCACAGAAATTCACTTTGCTCATGCCGATGTAAATTTCTAGTGAAATCGGTTTACGATAAAAAGAAGTAAATATGACTCAGAAACAAATGTTCTGTTTATACAGACTAAACATGATTACCGTGGTATTTTTGCATGTTTTCAAGATGTAGGATAGCTACCTTACATTTGCAAAACTTGTGGGATTTTTAATAACACAGAGAAAGCAGATACTCAAGCTTTGAACTTTCTGGTAATGCAAAGATACCCCTTACAGATCTCCTTTAAAGCTCAGGACCTACCAGTTCCTGCTAGACCTACCAGTTCTCCTGATCTTTGAATTCTAAGTAGATGATGTATGTTTTGTTTTATCTCATTCAATTTGAAGGCTATTTTGGGTATGTAGTAACATTAGAAATGATAGTGTGCAAGTTTATTATGTGCATGGTTTGTAAAACAAGTTTCTGAGACAGCACAGTAAGGAGTGCAGCATGTCCATTTATTGCAGCACATCCAAGTAAATGCTGTTCTGAATACAGAGAGAACGTGGGTTAGAAGTTTATGAAGCCATGTTTTTATATATTTAAAACATCAGTAAAATACGTTCATTTTACTTGATTCATACGTCTGCTGTTGATACTTCTGTTATTACAGGAAAAGAAATTATTACAAATAAAGAAGAAACTAAAAAAATGAGCAGTTGAGTCAAGAAATAAGGGGGGGTCAAGACTGATTGCAGTGTAATTAGAGTATTTTAGGGTTTTCCACTTGTAATGGGGAGAATAATGAATTTTTAAGAGGGAAGAACACTTGATATCCATTTGGCCTTTGTATCTGTCACCACTTCATGACCTCAAATGAAGATTTTCACATCTGGGCAAAAAACAGTGCTGAAGGAAGACAGTGACAGGCTTAAGTTTGAAATGTAGGCACTGGTTTTGATTGATTTATCCCATTAGTCTAGTTTTATAACTATAGCTATTGATTTGTTTTATTATTTAGAGGATTATGTAGCAATCAATCATATTTCCATCTAGCCAACCATGATTATTAATATTTTAAACTAGTTTTAAGATGGATTGGCTGGTGAGCACAATAGGTCTTCTCTCTAATCCAGCGAGAATGGAGTACACCCAGGTCACATGGAATGAATTATTGCCACTGGACAATCTGATTAAATCTACATCAGCCATTTGAATCTAAATCAATCAGTAGGAATACAGTACTGTCAGGGAACTGAGATTTCCTGCTTTGAAAATGAACGTTTTGGCTTTACCTTTACATTTCTTCAATGAAAGTATGTAGTTATTCTGTGACAGTAAAAGTATGGGAGGTAAATCAGTGGAGTTCATATAACGGTAGACAGAAACCCTACAGAAACATGCATTTTAACACAATGTATGTGGAAAGCAGTTACTTCCCTGCCAAGAGGCAAGCTCAAGATTCTGTGTCACTGCATCAGGAGTCAGCGACCTCGCAATCAGCAGCAGTGTGGGAAAGCATTGTGCTAAACTACAAGGGATGTGTTCATTTGCAGGGGAAGGACTGAAAGCCTTGGCAGGTTATTAAAAGAGGAAGTGGTTTCCAAATACAATATTCTGTTTTGAAATGCAATTGTTTTTTTCTATTGGATGCCAAAAATTTCTGAAGAATGCAATATCCTCTAACTAATTGTATCTGTGCTCTGAGAAAAGAAACAGTGCTATTGTTCTCCTCACAGCATGAGCTATTTATATGTTAGTCTGTGTAGCACTTCTTTCTGTAATGATTGTCTTCCACCTACGCAAAACTCCAATCCATTTAAAATAATCAAATTAAGACAGTTTATTGCTTTCTTACATCAAGCTGCTATTCATATGAAGTGTTTCTAGGTTACTTGGATTTAGTACAAGACCTCTAGGCTAAATACAATACAATTCTATTACCTCACTGGACGACCAAACCCCTTCCTTTCTGATGAATGTAAGCAGGAAGTAGTAACACGAAGGAGGTACCCCTTGAAAGAAGCAAATAGGGGTATACTTCTGCTGAGCTGTAGCCATCTCTACCATGATTTCTCTAACTGGGAGCTGGTCATTGTTTTAGTTGCACTTTGCTTTAGCTGTGTATATTTCCACATAGACACATTGTGGAAAGTTGCTATTTGTTCTTGTAAACCTCATTTTTGACAAGCAGGAAAGAGTTATCTAAGTGAAAATAGTGGGTATAATCTACATTATCTACATTTGAGATTTTAATTTGCTTAGCTATACAGGTGTTTGGAGACTGATTAAGTGCTGCAGAAATTACCAGAAGACTAAGCACAGTACCTGTGCTTATTTCCTATCTCAACATTGTCATTTTTTTAGCATATAAATATTTGTAATGTATGACATGATATATACATATGACATATTGTCACTGTTTTCTTCCTTTATATTGCTAAACCTTTTAATTCCTATATGTAACATCACAATATCCTGTCACAATGCTACTTAAATACTGCTTCTCATTTCCTCACACCTTGCATCTCTAAATTTTGAAGAATATTTATCAGTCATGTAGATAATGATTTCAGTATCTTTACAATATCAGAATTGATGCTTTTATTTATACCTGGCATTTGTGGTATTTGTACATACAAAGTATTTACCAGTTGTGTATATATTTTTTGATCTGGAGCACTGTTTAAGTGGAAAATCTAGTTTCATTGCTTGTTTTTTCTTTACTGTTTTCTTCTTCCAGATGGAGATTCCTCCAGCTAATGTAAATGAAGTCTTTCCATTGACTTCAGCAAGAGTCAGCTTAGTCCTTGTAGAAGGAAGTAAATAGCATGGAGACAGCGCCTTTTTGTACAGTTCTGCCTGGATTTGCAAACAAACACTAGACACTCCTTTATTTCTCTACTACTGCTCTGAAAGACAGGACATCCTGCTTTTCAAAACAAAAGATATTAAGCCTACTTCAACTAGGTCAATTACCATACTCAGATAGAAAATGGTGAGGTATTTTCTGTAAATTGTCTGAAAAATGAGGTTTGTGTCTTGGACAATATATCACTATAAAACTCTAGCCTAGTGAAATATTTTTGCTTGTTTGTTTACATTTTTTGTTGGAGACTAAAGGTAGTGAACAATGAAGATCTGCAGATAATGAGAACTGGTCACTTGTATGTGCACATCTCTGCTGCTTGTCCCTTTCAGGTACCATTCTGAGATACTATTCTCTATGAAACAAATCTGAAATGGCAGGGGAAGAGGCTCCTATTCTTCTCTATTTCTTTTATGCAGGTTCAATGTCTCAGACAGAATAGCTTCTTCATGGCAAGTAAATTGCTTCACAGAAAGTCATTATTCACTGAATTGATTAGTGAGTCCCAGAACCTTTGTATCATTGCCAATTCAAACTACTTAGTGGATTTGAAATTAAAGCACAAAATACACAGAGACTCCTGCAGTTACAAGACTTTAGGTGTCAAACATCTTGGTTTTTCCTTATTGTAATGGTTGCTCTCTCCAGAGTGTTTCGGGACTTAAATTAAATTTTTTCAGTCATGACAGCTGGTTACTTTCCTGTAATACTGTTACATAAAACTTAAGTTTGTTCTAGCAAAGATGGTAGCTGTTCCAGTGAAGATGAAACCAGATCATTCTCAAATTTCTCTTTTTAATGCTGGACAGGAAGGTGTAGAGAGACATGGGAATAAAAGAAGTGGGAGCAGAACTAAGATCCAACTTAGAGTATCAGAAAAGGCACATGAAAATAGAACCAGTGTGCATAGTGAATGAAACAAAATGAGACACAGGAAATCTGGGAATAGAATGAAATTAACTGAGGGAAACATAGGCTACCTCAGCAAGAACTGAGTGCCCATACAGAAAACCCATTGTTTTCTGTATGCCACAGGTCAAGGGTATATGATATATTGTTCATGTGCAGAGACTTATATATTCTGGAGATCCCTGTGCATGCTCAGATCAACTACATTTTGGAGTTTTTTGTGCACTGGCAGCTGGTTGCCTGACTACTTTGAAATTTATAATGGCAGCTTTTGAGATGTCAGTAGGAGATAGCATTTGCAAAACAAGCACTACAGATAGAGAAGGGGAACAGGAGGAGAGCTGGGATGGATGAAACAAAATGCAAGAGAGAAGATATGGAAAACAAATTCAGGAAATTAGGAAGTAAGTAGATGTAGTGCTTTGTCTGTGAGTCTAGGCCAAAGGCTTTTACTGTTTTATAATCGTAACAATACTAACTATGCAGGGAAGATAGGTAGAATTGAAATGTTATTTTTTAATTGCCCCAGCTAGTTGCCTTACCCTTCTGCAGAAAGTTGTTACACCCCGAGGGAGAGGAGACAGAACCATACCTATTTCCCTGTATAGTGTGGCAAGTAGCTTTAACCAACAGTGAGGACATAGAGGCAGGTGAGTCAGATGCCTGTAGTTTCTTCTGACACACCTCCTAGGGAGGGTACCCTCTGGCACATGGCAGGGACAAAGTGCTGAGGTCTGTAATAATTTTTTTAATTGCAACAGCTAGATCAGTCAGGCTTTTCTTAACTAATTTTTGCTGTCCTATGAATTTTGCTGTAGGCAGCCATGTGTGTATTTATATGTTGGTGCTAGATTTGGAAGACTCCATCCAAGTGAGAGAGAAAAAAGGGTGGCATAAAACCAGAAGAATATAGATGACAGCTCCTATCTGCTCATTGAAAGAAATGCTTCCTCTTAGGTAACAGTGATAAATTTTACATAGCTACATGTGCATTTAAGGTTGAATAAGACAATTGATTAAAATTATATGGAACCTATAGAATTTTTCTGACACTGAAAATAGCAAAGTGCATCTTCAACTGAGCTAATAATTTCTTCGGTTGTAAGGATAAAAAAAAAGAAGATGCCACTCATAAATTCCAAGTTATTTAAGTATGGAATTCCTCACCAATTTCTTTTTGTGTAGCTGCTTGCTTTGCCAAATTGCTGATTGATCAACTAAACTATTCTCTAAGTCAAGCACAGCATTTTTCAAGTTCTGTTTCAGCACAGCATAAAATAATTAGAGCTATAAACAAAAAAGAAGCAGGAATGCCATAGTCCCCCACATATCTATTAGCTGTCATCTGTGGAGTCTAACTGTTACACAGAAGCATGTTAAAATTAAATTGTGAACTTTATTTAACATACTTATTTGTTCTTTCCTTCTTTACTTTACCATTCTTCATTTCAAAGCTCTTTTCTTCACAACATGGCATATTCCTGGCCATGCAGATACTTATACTCACAGTAAATTACTGCATGATTATACTTACTTTTTAAAAACAAACAAAAATTTGGTTGGAATTCAGTTGAGCTTCTGTAGCCACTACTACATGCATGGCTTTAGAATTAGTTAAGTATTTTGCAGGACAGATAGTAATTTATATCAGTTTATAGACCATACAGAATTTAGGATAAATGTCTAGTAGAAATTAAAAAAAGAAAAAAAAATGTACTTGAAATTTTATATTGGTGTGATTTAATCTTTTAATCTCATTAGCTTCATTCAATATTTTGTTTTGAAATATTAATTTACCTTTTTTATAATTCATCAAAACAGTTTATTTTGCCCACCAATAGGCTCTCCATAGAAACAGTTGTATCTTAGTAACATACCAAGAATAGAGTTCATGGAATGCACTGCATTTGTATATACTGCCCTTAAAGACCCATTTCTAGTTGTTATAAGGGAAGGAGAGAGTTTCCTTTCTGCAATTGTAGCAAGCACAGCACTTCAATACAACATCTCCGTGCTTCCTAGGTTGATCTCCTTACATATGAGATACAGGTAATTCCTGCCTCTTATGGCTTGCCCTTCATAGGATCATGTCAGCAAAGATGTCAGACACCTGTCCCTTATAGCTGGGGGTTTATTTTTTTGGTTTTGTTTTAATTGGATGCTAGTTGATGAAGTGTGTGAATACTTCTTGCTTTTGACCCTTGTCAGCTAAATTCAAAACTGTTTCTGCTAATGCTTCTGTTTGTCTGCTTCTACATTGAAAAATTTTGAAAATTGTTTTGCTGGTATCACCTTGTGTAGATCTGTAGCTGCTCTGTAGGGCACTCCTTTGCTACACTCCAGATGACTCTAGCTTTACCAGCTCTCTTCTCATTGTGTTGCCTCTCTCCTTTCTGCTCTTCCATGCTTGCTGTAGGGCGGCTGTTTGTCCTCTGGCACCTTTGTTCTCTCTGTCCCCCACAAAGCTGAAGTGATCCAAGGGAATGTTTATGATGACATTTGAGCTTCTCTGCAGCAATGTGTTGATATTTACACTTAGCTGATTATTAGCAAGTGGAGCACATGACTACATTGTAAAATCTGCTTAGTTTAACCAGCACTTCAGGGGAAAAGAAGCAGGAAGTAGAGTGATGCAGGGGCTATGTGTCGCTCCTTACACAGTTGGTGGGGGCTGTGCCATTAATTTGTCTGGGTGGTAAGGGATGAAGCGTGCTTTTCAGCTGACTCTTTCACTGCTTTATAGTTGTTATTTGCTGCATATTCCCTAGCTTGACTGGTACTGTTCTCTGCTTTAAAATAAACCAGGCCATTTAATGCTAGGGTAGAGAGGAGGGTGTCCTAACCCCAACCCTCCTCACCTTAAAAGAAGCTTTTAAGATGTCAAGCAAAGAACATCCCATCCCAGGTTTTGATTAAGGAAAAGAGTAGTTACCAGCTTTGGTCTCAGGCACAGACTAAATGAAGGAATGAAGGCAGAGGCATGATACCTCTTGTCTCAGCACACAGTTATTAAAAGAACATGTCTGGAGGAAAAAAAGAGGCCCAGGAACCCAGAGAAACCAGACAGATTTAAAAAGAATTTCTCTTACCCTCTGTGTGGGGAGGCAGAGGGAAAGCATCTTGCTGAAACATGGTTTCAGAAATTTTGTATTTGTGTGGTTAATCTAAATTTGCAGCAGTAGCAAGTGAGCTATTTCAGAATCCAAAATGGGGACACTGGGAGGGGTATTTTTTTTTGTTTTGTTTCAGGGAAATGTTAGGGTACTGTAAACTGCCAGTTATTTTCTAGGAGGCTGAAGTATAAAAAACAAGCAGCAGAGCTTTGGAAGTCATGGGGCTTTGACACCCCTCTCTACCAACCTGTATATGCTCACCTAACTCTAGAGATACTCTTTTCTCACTTCTTTTTGGCTATGGTATCTTCATGCTCATGTCTCAGGCAGCTGTTGGTCCTCATTCTACATCTTGCATAATTTTTGCAGCCACAGGTCACTTCCTGCATCTTCCACGTGGGTGGAAATGGGGCAGGCCAGGTACCTTTTCCAAGATGAGAATGGGTGGGAAAAAGAATACAGAGAATAGAAGAGCAAGAATATTGATATTTTTGTATTGATTGATATTCTTGTATTGATATCTTGTATTGATTTCAGTATCACCTGCAGTGATATTGAAAGGTGGTCTGTATGGAGGGAAGAGATTCAGCCTAAAGCAGCTGATCTTCTCTCCTAGGCCCTAGCAGAACCTGCAGATTGCTCCCTCATTAGCTGTCAAAGAAGGCTGTGTCCACATTAGCAGTTAGTTTCAAAGCAACAGTGTGGTTTGGGGTAAAATTTTGTCATTGTCTTCACTTAGCATGTGTTGTTTCAGTTCCCAAAGTGGTTTTGGTGCATAAAAGCCAAATTCCTTCAGGAGGAAATGGAAAGAGAAGCTCGGTTTCCAATCTGCTCCACATGCACCCTAGTGCTAATGGGGACAAGAAGTTCCAAAATAACATGTAAGCTGCATCATCACAAGGTCCTCTAGCACATACCTAACACTTCTTCTCAGAAAGCTTTGAAACACATGTATAGCGGAGGTGTTTGGCTCCAGTGACCGGGCTAAATATAATCTAGAATAAACCCCCAAAACAATATGATGGAAAAATGAGGTGTCTTAGTATCAACTATTTCATTCTACCAATCCAGTCCTTATGTGCTGAATTAATTTCTTCTGAAAATACTGCTTACTTTTTTCTATACCTTAAGCTGGCTTTGGGAAATGCCAAATTTAACCTAAATATGTACCTAGAATGTTTCTCATATCTGGCAATGGGGTGCCCACACAATTATATATGTTAGCCCTTTAATCACTAAAGACAGCTTTCTAATCACTATTAAAGAGCTAATGTTGCTCATCTTAACTTGAATGAAAGACATAAATCAAAACCTGCCAGCAATCACAATAGTAGGTATGCTGTTACTGTAGCTAAGGATATAGGGAGAGTTGTGGATTTGTATCCCAGGGTGGGTAAATGCACATAGGCTGAAAACTGCACTCAGTAAGATGCCTACTCACCAAAACAAAAAAAGGCAGACATAGCTGGGTGAATAACAGTGACAATGTCATTCTCTCCTGAATGGAAACTACTATGTGCCTGCTATGAGGGTAGAAGAAACCAGTGTTTAAGCCAGAATGATGAAAGATGTAACAGTCGACATTTACCAATATAATTACAAAATTATATACATTCTTAACTGTTGTATTGTCTTTTTTCCCCCCCACTTTTCCTATGATTTCCATTTATTTATGAGCTTCTTTATTTGCATAGCTCAGTGGCAGCACTGATGTAAGCGTCTGCAAGTACCCGGTGCTCTGTGCTGCTATTGTCACTTACAGTCAAGATTTAGTTACAGCTGCTCCCAGAAGCCATAATGTGCCCTCATCCCTCACATATCCTACTGTGAATTGAAAACATGTTCTAACAACATATTATGAAATGACATGCAAGATTATGGAGATAAGCTTTTCAGATGGAAAATTTTAGTGTTCTTTAAGAATCTGTAATTTGTACTGTTTAATCTTTATTTTTTTGCCATGTCAGATAAACCTAGACATTCTGCTCTCAGATGATAGCATGTTTGGAGATATGAGAGAAACAGAGAGCTGCTGGAACATATTGCAGAAGCCTAAAGCACTTAGCAACAGAGAAAGTGTGGGCTGCAACGACAGAAGCCAGAATGTGGAAACAAGTGACATCGAGGCGGCTGTTTGGGAAAGAAGAGCTTTTACTTTGTTTATAATTTCAGTAATTCTAAAGAACTTGGCAGTGTGGGAGGTCACTGCAGTCTCTGACTCTGCACATATCCTTTTCTGTGTGCCTGTTTTTCAAATGCCTATGATAATTATTACCAAGAGTGCTGGATGTTCTAATTTCCTTTTGTATGCTTTTGTATTTCCCGTTTCTCAAAAACTAGAGAAGTAAAATTAAGGTATTTGTTTTGCATCAGTTTATTCTATTCATACTCATGTGGCAGGCACTGTGAATAGTTTTTAAATTGATAACGATAATGTCTTCTGGAGTGATGCAATCATTTACCTTGATGCTTTTTAGTGCTTTGCACTAGAACATCCTGATAGTGTGCACTAATGATAGTGTGGATGTCCAATAACTGCTAAAGAAAAGATGCCTGAAGTGTTGAACAGGGTAAATTGAGTTGAGATAAAATAAAAATTTTTCTGACATGAGAGTGACTTTTACAAGGGCATTCAGAAATCACTGCATTTCTAAGTCCTGCAGGTCCTACTGAGGTAGAAATTATCTGGAGAACTTCACTCACCCCTTACTGGGGATTGTTTTACCTAATGCATATGCACCTGTAAATGCCAAAATCTTCTTTCCTCTGAAAAGTTATCGTGCACATTAAATGCAGGGGCTGCACAGCTCTAGGGTTGGAAAAAAGGCCTTAGGCAACACAGGACACTTAAGGAACTTGGAAACCTTACCATAATTATTGCATTTTGTATTTAATGAAGGTTGAACTAGCCATTAGTTTGTATTTTCTTTTTTCTCTTTATAAATATCTCTTGTGGTTTGCATTTTTCAGTAATCTAATTGTGTCTACTTTTGAGGTATTACAACTTGAAAATAACAGTCAAAGTAAATGATAGAGATGTACCAAATTATTATAATAGAGGTGCTACAGGAATTCATAGAAAAAACCACAAGGAGCAAATTTATATAATAATGATGCCCGAGGAACTATTAGTATGAAGTCTAACAAATTTATCTACTCACTGAATACTACAGTGTTGAATAGCTTCAGGCTACTGTTGATATTTTTTAACTCCACAGGTGACCTGCCATTGGGTAATTGGCCTTTTAATGGGAATTGGATTCAGCCTAACTACTGATATCATTTTGGAAGTAAACTACTGTTTACTTCCAAAATGCTATAGCAATTTCACTTATTAAAATGCAGTAATCACCTCACATTAGATGGCAAATTAAAAAAAATAGAAAAGTAAAATGAAATCATTTTTAAAAAATTAACACAAAATGCAGTCACCAGGCCAAAGCTGGGTAACAAATATATTACTGAGAAAGTTAATTAAGTACAGAGACATCCCTGGGCTGTAAGAGAAGTGTAGTGTAGGTGTTACCAAATCATCCAGAATCCAACAGGGTGAACCTGAAAAGTCATCCTATGACACAAACAGCAACATCTTCAAGCCTTCCAAAACACACTGGGACCTTTTACAGCTCACTTATGGAGAGGAGATCATTCTGGTTTGAACCTCCCAAGGTCCCTTTGCTTAGGAACAACCCTGAAAATATGTTTCACCACTTATAGCCTCAGGACAAAGCACTTTTCCTTGAAGAAGTTTCCCACAGCTCCCTGTCTGCAAACTTCTCAGGGTCTAAGCACCAGACTGTCTCTCTCCTTTTTAATGTCTTGCTTCCATATTAATAGCTACAGAGTCCCAGCGAGGAAGTATCACCTGTCAAAGGAGTTTAAAGACCTGAAATTCCAGCACCATTGCTAAAATGTATGCCTTGACTTACTCCCACTTAATGTTTTTTCTTTCTTCTTGCTTTCTTCTTCTATTGCTCTCAGCTGCTGCCTTTCTCTTATTATAAGCAGGACCATTACCTCTTTATCTCAGATCTCTGTTGTACCCAGCATACATAATTGCCACCATCAACCCTTAATTCTCTGACTCAGAAAATATAAGTCAGAGGCTCGAGGGAGCTCCACCTGCACTGCAGGGATCTGCCAGGGCCCTTCACCTTCCCATCCAGCACTCCCACTCCCTGCCTTCTATTTCAGTTACTGCTCCAAAGAACAGCTCAGATAATGGAAACTGTAGGAGCAGTAAGGTTAGCCACCACACGTGCCTCTGCTAGAAGTCTTAATTTTTAATTTTAAACAGTGCAAAAGCTTTTCCAAACATAAGAAAAAAAAGATCCCTAAACCAATTAACCAGCCCCTTCACAGCTCCCCCTCCCCACCAAAACACCAAAAAACCACCTTGAGAATCAAGGCTCTTTTCTCTAGAAAATGAGCCTGGAGCTCCCATTTTAATATCTGAAGACAGCCAGCACCATCAGGCATGGAGCTGGAGCTACATACTAGTCAGTGTTGCTGTTGTCAAAGGTAAGTTTATTCAACTTTAGATCTGCAAAATAGAGGCTAGGGACTAAAGTTGCCACAGCTAACTTTATCCTTTTCTTTGCCCAAAACCCCTGACCACAACAAACATATATGAAAGTGAAAGTATCTCTCTTAGGATTCTGAAGAAGGTATTATTTTTAATTTTTCATGTATTTTCATCTTCTGTCCAGACTGTCACTATCCTGAGCAACCTCTGGAGATGTACTTGAGAGACCTATGGAGAGACCAGTGTTAAAGGCATGATTTTTTTTCCTCTTAAGGAAAAACTGGCCTCCTGAGGACTCTACTCTTAAACATCACAGGCACTTAGGATGCTGCAGACCATTTCCCTTTCCTCTCATGTCCTTTGTTCTGTCTCTGCCTTCTTGTCCAGTGCTTTCTGTGAATATCTGTATTCTGTCTGGGCTCCCTCCTCTTCTGCCCTGAAAAGAGAGTACCAGTCACATGCTCTTTTCCGTCCTGTACAACTGTAACAAAAGTTGTACTCTCATCTGCTATGCTTCCTGCTCCCTGTATGCCAAATACCACATCTTACAACACTTGAGCTTTCCAAGGCAAATCACAGTTTCTGCATCCCATTAACAATAGTCTCTCCCCTTTTGTCATCTCCATGCCTGTACATTCCCAGATCCTTCACTCTGTACACCTGTGGTACTGTGAATTCTGGCCATTAAATGTGCACCCACACTATGCAAAGTAGCACCCGATCAGAAGTACACAGCGTAGTCCCTGATACACTGAGTCTGGAGACAGACTGTGCTGGTACATCCTGCTGCTGTAGTTACATTGTTTTGGTATTTCCACACTGATCAGTGCTATGCCAAGTGGCTAAGCCTGATTAGAGCTGGCTCAGATGCTGCATCTGGTGTCAGGTCAGAACTGGGAACAGTCATCTGACCTCTCACTGAAATGGGAATTTGGCATTATGGCTCCGATCAAATAATTTCCTTTTCTTCTTATGCTTTCCTGAAAATACACCAATCTTCACTGTCCCTGAATGATCAGACTTCTACAAACTACAGATAATATAAATGCTGAAAAAGGCTAGGTGGGTATTGCTGGGACAGCTGAACAAACAGGAGTGATTACTCTCAGACATGCGTTTTAAGGAACTTATTATGGGTTTTCTGGAGGGACCATGCATATCTGCTGCATGGTAAGGGCAGGCTGTCTATTGTCTCAGCCCCTGAAAATTATTGTAATGAAACAGTGTGAACAGAGCCATCACACTGAGTCCCACAGTCAGTGACTGATCTGCTGCCTACCTGCCGAGCCGCGCAGACACAGTGGTTTCTGGCTGAGCATTTCTATGTAGATGGCCTATGGAAGGTAGCCTAGAAAACATGGGAAGTACATGATCCATTAAGTTTATAATTTTAAGGAAATAAACCAAAGATATAAAGAAAAGGATGTTGTTATTCTAGAGTTGGAGAACAGTCTTTGTAACAAAGCTTTATTAAAAGGTCCTTTTTTCTTAACTAAAATCATGAGATGAACAAAATAGGGCAAAGGCCTTATTTATAAATTTTAACCTGATATGATACCATTCACAATGCACTGGCATGTTTGGTTAGGTATGTGTAATCACTGCAGTTTTAGTGTTAATAGTACTGAGGAGTCACTAAAAATCTTCACCTCTTGAAGACAAACAGAAGATATGCATGGTCCCTCCAGAAAACCCATAATAAGTTCCTTATTTATAAATTTTAACCTGATATGATACCATTCACAATGCACTGGCATGTTTGGTTAGGTATGTGTAATCACTGCAGTTTTAGTGTTAATAGTACTGAGGAGTCACTAAAAATCTTCACCTCTTGAAGACAAACAGAAGATATAGTTCTGCAACAAGTAAAAAATTGTGGCTTAAAGTTTGTAAGCATTTCCCTCTCCTCTGTCTGCAAAGTGGAGATAGCAGTCATGTCTTAGGCTGTCTTCAAGTGTAGATATTTTAAAAAACAATTCTCCAGAAATGGCATAATTAGTTTCTATCCTGCTTCAAAAGAAATTTTTTTCTCAGTTACCAAAGTAGTCTATGTCTACGTTAACAAGAAAAATAGTGTAATCAGAGCAGATCTGTACTGTGAAACAACTCGTCACAGGGACCAGATATTCACATCATGCACATTTTGTGGGTTTTACCTAGTCTGTTCCTGGAGACTGAATGTCTGGTATCAGATGGAGAATGTCAGATGTACTTGTGGAGTGCACACTTCAGCTTAGGTTCATTCAGAGGCAGTCCAGCCCATGCACTCAAGATAATTCGGTAACATACAATACTACAAAAATGTGCTCTTGATCACAACCAAACTAATGTAGACGCACCTCCAAATTATCATGGAATGTTTTTATTCATATTTTAAACCTAGTGATTATGTTTCTGATGACAAAATTATATCTAAGTTATTTTTTGTGCTAACCCAGATGAATGTATAATACTTTACTTCACAGAAGTTCTATCTGCCTTCTCCAAGGAACCATTCTGTCAGCCTTATAATGGAATTATATAGGTACAGCATAACAAAATTTTCTTCTTTAAGGATAATTTATGAAGCAAGTCTATTGCTAACAATACAGAAGAAGGAATACAATCTACCCATTTACTTTGCTTCTACAAAGGTAAATACCACGGTTTTGTCTCTAAATGTAATAAATATGCCAGAGTATATGAAGTGGATCCACTGAGTAAAAAACCAGCTATTTTAATGAATCCATATCTAACAGATGAAGAGCCATATGTCCACCTGAAAGCATTGTAGTAAAATTTTCAAAACATGCTACCAAGGTTTCATCTACATTTGTGAGACCAAGATCTAACCACTTTTTATTATTGCATCAGTTAAACATGGTAAAGTATAAATAGCATTTTCTGTTTTTCCTACCATGTCATCATCTAGAGAAAAACAATTGATCACTTTTGTTAATTTGAAATTCTGAGTGAGAAAAGGGTAAAGATTACAATTTTATTTTTCTTTTCACATGTATGTAATACGCAAAACAATGACCTGTTCTTAATTTTCTAAAATTCTAAAGTATTAAGATAAAAGTTCACAATGACATAATTACATACAT